ATCACACAATTATTCTGACCGAACATCATAAAAAAAAAAAGAAAATTTTAGGGCCTCAATTCCCACACAAAGTATATATTTGAGGAATTTATACCACATACCATTCAATACACTTTATATTACATTTATACACCCCATAAAATATATACTTGCAACTATACTAAATTCTACATACTTATTTGCACAAGTACCAGATCTTTCAGTTTATTAATTATGGAGAATAAATATAGAAAGAGAGATATATTTATAACCAATCCCTATTATCAAGGAATTAATTTTCTCTTTCTTTCATTTTGTTCTCCATTATCTCAATCATTTCCTCATCAATTATCTTCTTTAAATCAACTATCTTCTTCAAATGAAACGCAGGTCAAATTAGAAATATTGTGCACCGCCTCAAGGTAGCAAATGAAGGTAGGCATGAGAAAAAAAAATATAATAATTGTGTTTAGTTTGTATTAGTGGTTAACTAATTGCTTATTTTTTATCAATTTTGTTTTCATTTGATGACTCTGGATCGAGAAGAAGAAACAAGAGGTGGTGAAAAGCAAAACCCACAGTAAGTATAATTGTATCTCTTCATTTATTTATATTGATTTTGTCTTGTTTTTGTTTATATTTAATTGTGTCTCCCGAGCAGGTGCTGCTCGCGGGTGGCGATGACGGGTAGTGAACGGACGCCGGCGGCGGTTGCAGGCCTCTCGTGTTCGGTGACTTGCTGATGGAGATCCTCGGCGATGGTTGCATGTTCGGTGACTTGCTGAATTTAGTTTATATGTACAATATATATACATATACTGGGATATGTACAATTATTGTACATCTTAATTTATGTTTGGTGTATTAGTTTATTACAAATTAGTTTCTGAATGAATGTATGTTTTTTCTGTTTTCAATGTTTATTCATAGTTTATATTCGGTATATTATAAGATTTTATTGACAAAGCATAAACTGATTTTTTATTTTCGTTTATATGTATGGTTTATATTAAGTATATTTTCGGTATATGTAAAGAAATTTATCGCCAGACAAAGCATAAACTGATTTTTTATTTTTTCTAGTATATGTATGATATATATTCAGTATA